AACGTCTCGCTATAAAACCTGACAAAACAACATCCCTGGGTATCTTTGCAAAAATAACAAAAGGTCATTTTAGAACGTAAGATATGCTTTAATTACCGCTAAATTGATAAAATAATCTATTATCATTTCAGAGTGTTTTTTAAACAAGAACCCAAAGAATGGCTTCTAAACCAGACACTGGCGGCCGTTCAAGGTTTGCAAAACTCGGAATGGCAATAAACGAAGAACTAACCCAGGCCTGTAGAGATGTCTTAGAAATGGAAGTACCTTCTGGACTTGTCTTCAACAAAGTAAAGGCGTCTTCAATTTATAGGAAAATACGTCCCGAGCAAGAACTTCGTCTTATAGGCGCCAAAAGAGATGGTTATAAAGAATTTGACATAACATTGTTATATACACTGATAAGAAATATATGTCCAAAAATTCCACGGCCAACTAAAGGTTGGGATGGTAACACGATGCCGTCTCTAGGAGAAATAACGATTGGCGATGACGTTGAGAGGGTCAGGATGATAAGAAACAACATGTTTGGACACATAATAATAATAAGTTTGATAACACGTGGTCAATCATAACTGATATCTGCCAAAGACTGCAAACGTACACAAACAAAGACTATATGTCTGGTCTGAGTAATATTCAAAGTCAGGTCCTAGAAGAGGAGTACGAAACAACAGTTATAGAAAAACTTAGGGAAGATTATAAGAATAACCAAACTCTAATGGAAAAGATTTCTTCTGTGGAACAGGATTTGGTAGAATTGAAAAGAATATCCGAAGACAAAGGTGATTATAATAAATACTGTTTTTAAGGTCAGACCACTAGCTTTTCAAAAATATATAATTTTCTCTAAGAATTTGTTATTCAATTTTAGGATTATAAAGTTTCCTCTCAACATAAAATTAGGGTACTTTACCAGGAATTTGGACAAGCTACCACAGAGTCATATTTCTTATATAATCATTATGGGTTATATTCTGCATGGCCTATGTCACAACTTTTGGTGTATTTATATGTATAAACACGCAGTACAGTTAAGGTGCACAGTAGAAATATCGACAATATTTTGTAATTAAGAATATATTCCCAATCGGGATAGAATATCTTTTAATAATATTTTAGTTAATTATAGAATACATTTTTCTTTGTGAAAATGTAACCGGATTTCCGTATAATAAGATGAATATTCAGTTCTTTTTAATTTGCGAAAGCAATAATTATAGTTGGATAACAACTCTACAAAACATGTAAACATAATGAATGTTTTATTTGATATAGGTATACATGTATATTTTATCACAAAGTATTCCAATAGCATAAGGGTATGGAAATAACGAACAGAATTCAATATCAAAGTCCATATAACAATACAAAATTGTAGCAGAGAAAACACGGACTTCCGAAACATCAGAAGTGAGATGAGGTGCCATGGAGGAGTGAGCATCCGCAGTGACCAGTTATTCCCGCCGTATGTTCCTTGTCATGACCGGGAAATACATGTAACGGAAAAATCTGTTGTCAATTCAGTCTATAAATGATGGACTAATATTGACTGATCTATATTACACTGATATTTCTATTCATCTTCATTATCACTCATAAATACTATTAAAGACAAATAACTCTTATTTGACCATATTTCATCATATGCATATAAACTTAAGTAACTTAAGTAGTTTATATAATTTACGAAACATATTGACAAATATCAAAATAAGTAATATAAATAAATACCAAGTTGTGAACCTAGGCTGTCCCAAAATACATGTAACTCTGTTTGTCAGGGTTAGCCAAACAATATCTGACCTAAATTATACAACATATGGTTGTGTTTACTAAATCTTATAATATTTATAATATATACAAATTTCTGATGAGGTCAGATGTCATCATAAAATATATTTCTTATATCAATGTAACTTTAACTGATGTCTAGACAAACATGCGCTATGTATTCAGATGATGAAAAACGCATGACTTTGATTATCTATTGATATTTAAAAAATCTTCATATATCCTGCCTTCGATATTCATTTACTTTACCCAGAAAACGGCGTTTTACATGTAAAATACACTGTTAAGATATATATTAGGGGCTTATTTGATATAAGAAAATAAACATTTTATGAAACTTAAATTTACGGCATTTTTTCTGGCCAGTTAAGTCAATCCATTCTTTGTCATGTTGGCAGGTTACCTATTATTTTCCCAAAGTCAATTCAAAATTTACAACATAATAGGCCGATTAACTGTTTTCTGTCTATATGAAACACTTAAGTTGTCGTAAGATCTTTAAAAAAAACTTACCTGCAATGTATTTTTATATTATGTTGTTTGCATTAGATAATTACCCCATACTCATATTTGTTTTTCTATTTTATGGCAAAAGAAACCTTTTAATTCATATTTCTTACTTGTAATTCATCATAAACCACAATTTAAAGACAGTACATACATTCTTTTCTATTTCCGAATACTTTAAATTACATATTTACTTGTTGTGAACATATGTTGCATTCAACATTAACAATCCAATAGTATGTTTCAAAAACTTAATTCAGACTCAGATGTATTTAAAAGAACAAGATTAGTGGACACTTATACAGTTTTACAAAAAATACAATTTCTTATTTTCTGTTTTTTATACCTATTACCTCTAAAAAAAACTTATCTGTTTCAGAAAACACACTGATAAAAGAGATTCTTGACAATTGGCGAGAAGACGATATTGCCTTCATTCCTACAAGAGCAAGTGAAGTGGTTCAAGAAAAGTTTAAAAAGTCTTAATCTTATCACAGGGGTTTGGGAAAAATTCGGGATGGGGAAAATCTGCAATAATTCAGCATATTGCACTTATGTATAAAAAACAGGGATGGAATGTCATGCCAGTTGATAAGGTGGAAGACATTAAAAAGATCTGTTCTTCTGGAGACTCAGACAACCCGATATTATTTGTATTCAATGATCCTTTAGGTAAGGAGTCGTTAGATGAAATTTTATATCATTCATGGAAATGTTTAGAGAAAACGCTGGAGATTTGCTTGAAGAAGAATAAATTATTGATATCATGTAGAAGATGTGTCTTTTATGACAAGAGAGTTAAGGGTAACTTATTGGACGAATCCACTGCAGTAGAAATTGATAGCGAAGAACATGGACTGACTGTTAAAGAGAAAAGAGCGATTTTTAATCAGTATTCACAGAATCTTCATTTATCCGAGGAGGTTTTTACTGAAATAATCAAAACAGAAGCTTACTTCCCATTGCTTTGTAAGCTTTATTCAAGGGAAGAGAACTACAAAGAAAAGGGGGTTGATTTCTTTAAAAATCCGCACAGGTTTATTAAAAAGGAAATTGAAATTTGGAAGAAAATAGACAAGAAAAGATTTTGCTCACTTATCTTAAAAGTAGCTTTCAAAAACAATTTGAAAATCGATACTATTGTAAAAAATGATATTTCTGTGATGAAATTCAAAGAAATTTTAGGAATGTGTGATTTACAAGAAAACACAAATATTTCAGTCATTCGAAGTACTCTACATGAACTGAAAGGATCTTATGTCAAACGTGTCGGAAATGCTTTCCAGTTCCTTCACGACTTTATTTTGGAGATAACGACTCTGGTGTTTGGTGTTGATTGTCCACAAGACGATGCAGTACAGCAGACAGTGGTTTTCTGAGACGTCGAGTGAGGATAGAAGACGATACAGAAGAGGAAGACCGCGATCCCTTCAATGTTTACCTTCCTGAAGAGTATATTGATGATCTTGTGGACAGGTTTATCATTGACATGCAAACAGAACATATTGTAGATGTTCTACTCAATCCATGTTTAAGGAAAGAGAGCGTCATCAACTCTTTTAAGGAAAAAGTCAATTGCAATGCGAAAAGCTTGTAAAAATTAAATGTGAATTAGATAGATCGGAATTTCAAAAATTATTTGAAAGATCTTTTCACAAGATTTGATTTCCTTTATTCATTTAAAAGTGAAATATGCCCTTTGGTCGGATTTATTGTATTTTGTCATTCTGACATTTCTCTATTTTTCATAAAAAGTATACCAGAAACAAAGTTGAAAGAACATCCTATATTCTCTGCTATATGTGTGAATGGTGATTTAAACCTATTAAATTACCTCAGTGAAGATTACAAAAGAACCGCAATGAAAGAAATATGGGATGACTCTTTGCCTATTCATGTTGCTTCTGTTTTTCATAATTTTTCAATAATTGAAGAATTAGTAAGACTTGGTGCTGACATAAACACGTTTACAACTGATGACAGGTGGACTTCATTATTATTAGCTGTTGCAAATGACGAGGATCATTTCAAAGAGGCGGGAATGGATATAAAGACCGGAGAAAGACGCAATAAAACCATTATTTGTTTATTGGGCTACGGTGCCGACATCAATTTATGTGATAGTGATGGAGTCAGTCCTCTTTATATAGCTTGTCAAAATGGACATGATAGCACGACACAACTGTTACTTAACAACGGAGCCGACATCAATTTATGTGATAAAGATGGATTCTGTCCTCTTTTCGTAGCTTGTGAAAATGGACATGATAACACGGTACAACTGTTTCTGAACAACGGTGCAGACATCAATTTATGTGATAAAGATGATTCGTTCCTCTTTATGTAGCTAGTCAAAATGGACATGATAGCACGGTACAACTCTTACTGCAAAACGGTGCCAACATCAATTTATGTAACAACAATGGAGCCAGTCCTCTTTATATATCTTGTCAAAATGGACATGATAGCACGGTAAAACTGTTACTGAACAATGGTGCAGTCATCAATTTATGTACAAACAATAGAGCCAGTCCTCTTTGTATAGCTTGTCAAAATAGACATGATAGCACTGTTCAACTGTTACTGAACAACGGTGCTGACATCAATTGAGGTACCAACAATAAGCCAGCCCTCTTCATCTAGCTTGTCAAAATGGACATGATAGTACGGTACAACTCTTATTGAACAAGGGTGCAGGCATGAATTTGTGTAACAAGAATGGAACCAGTCCTCTTTATGTAGCTTGTCAAAATGGATATGATAGCACAGCACAACTGTTAATGAACAAGGGTGCAGACATCAATTTATGTGATAGTGATGGATGCAGTCCTCTTTATGTAGCTAGTCAAAATGGACATGATAACACGGTACAACTTTTACTGAACCACGGTGTTGACATCAATTTATGTGATAAGGATGGAAACAGTTCTCTTTGGATTGCTTGTGAAAACTCACATTGCAGCACTATCGAACTTCTACTGAATTCAGGTGCTGATGTAAATTTGTGTAATAAAGGAAACTGCAGTCCGCTGTTCCTAGCATGTTTCAATGGCAATAAAAGCATGGTTAAACTTTTATTGAACAAAGGGGCAGACATCAATTTATGTGACAACGAGGGAACCAGTCCACTCTACATAGCCTGTGAGAATGGACATTACAGCACGGTCCAATTATTATTAGAAAAAATGCTTGTGTCAATTTATGCAATAAAGACAATAAGAGTCCATTGTGCATAACATACTTATATAGTCATGACAGCATTGCTGAACTTTTACTACAATATGGTGCAGACTTTTTATTCTGACGATGGATTCAGTGGTTTCTCAATACAAAGTGCGTTTACATTATTTCTGAGATATGGAGCAAAAGTCAATTTTAGCTTTGATTATAAATTGCAAAAATGAGCAGGATACTATCATGAAGAATTAAAGCTTTTTTCAAAAAAAGAAATACATAAGAGGAAGAAAGCACATGATGTATCCTTCATTTCAACATTTAGATATATCGACGACGTATTATCAATTACAAGTATCAATATTTATTTTCATTTATATGTCGACTTGTTATTTCCTAGTGAATTTGAAATCGAAGACACCACAAAATCTGTTACTTCTGTTTCATGTTCGAATGTTCGGAAATTATATTATATTTTTCAATTGCATAGTTAGCAAATATAACCTTTCATGAATGGGTTTAATTTAACAGACATGTTTATACCAAGTGATGGTCTGTTTTGTACTTAATTTGACAAAAGACTGTTGCCTCTGTCCATTGAAAAAAAACATGACAAGTATGATCGATCAAAAGGGTATGTTTTCTCATTTTGGGCACCTGAGTCTACTCCTGTAGTGCTTGAAATTCGGGTTTATGTTTGGTTTTCAGATGTTTATTGCTTTTAAAAATTTGTGTGGATTGTTTGTTTTCTTTTAAATTTAGTAATTACTGCCGTACTGTTAATCGCCAAATTTTCTGTGACAAATGATTTTTTTAGATGGATACTTGGAATGTAAAAGCGAGATGGAGATATTGTACTTAAAAGAAATTTTCTCTAGAGTATTTTTTATTGTTCATATTTAATAATAATTATTTTATACGCAAGAAATATTTTTTGTTTCTAAGAAAACACAAAAAAGTTTTTTTGAATAAAAGGTATACGTATTAACAGTAATTTATTAAGCTAAATTGCTTTTTAATGTCATATGGCTTTCTTTATTTTTTTGAACTACTGCTAATTAAAGATTTAAGTTATAAAAAAAAAATCAGATTAATTAAACGTCTTGTTTCAAGAGAGCAAAGTTTTGCGGCTATATAAATCTTTTTGTTCTTGTAAGCAGCAAGGGAGCTGTCGTTATTTGATATAAAGATTAAACATTGCACTGTATTTCTGTTATATGTAAATTTATTCTGTGAGACGGATAATGATTATTTATTTGGGTGTAATTAGGGGCTTTATTTATCTTAACCCTATACAGGCGACACATTAGTACGAACTGTTATGTTTACAACATACAGGTGTATTCTGTTGATTAATCAAAATTCGTTTGGACCAATATTTTTTTTATTGTCTAAAGATTATATGTTCGGGGGGAATAAATATCAAATATTCCTTATTCTCGTAATTGCTATTTATTGGATTACTAAAATTCTTGTAAGCTTGATTACTGCTGATTTCTTCATGAATGCAATGGTGGAAAAGAAGTGTATAAAATAATGATCTTTGAACGTATGAATTAAAAAAATATTAAGCTTACGATTTGTTTCTCACTAATAATTTTTACATGAGATAAAATTTGATAAAACAGCAAATTACATAAAGTTATTTAAACAGCCATGTCCATTGATTCCTCTCATACACTTTATTCAATGAAAAGGATGAGTGCACATGATCTTTAGTTGGGCCTCAGTGTTTACGCAAAAAAAAATACAGAGTTCATAAACATTATGTTTTACAGGTGAACATTTTTTTCATGATTTATTTTTTTAAAAAAGTGTCAATTCGTCGAAAGTTGATTTGTGTGCTGCCTTAACATGTCCGCGAAAAATACTACATACACTGTATATATTATATCCTTCAATTTATTTATTTTCGCATTACGTACATGAATAGGTCAAAAAGCACACAACCCAAATGTTATTTAAGGCAAAGTACATATACAAGATCAATCATACCATAAATTACACGGTGTATAGGCAAAACGGACCCTTTTCGTGAAACGGATACTTTCCGATAAAAGCAACAGACACTTTCCGTTGAAACTACCCTCGAACCAACACATGTTCAAGAATTCATGTGTTTTGAAATTTAAATCTTAGGCAAACCAGTAAATTATACATTCCACGGAACGTGGCTGACGTTGATCTTGGACGTGAAAGTCAGTTTTGTTTTCATTTTACGGAGATAGCCTCTAAATAGCATTTTTTCTGTCGTACATCAGTGGTTCATCAATATTGATAAGTCATTTGGACAGACTTTTGTGAATAAATTGGCTGTGTTACCAGTAGCATTTGGGCGTATTATTTAGAGATATAGATTTCAATATGTGTGCGTTTTGATGTTTTTGTTTTCACTGTGTTTTAGATTTTAAAAAAGTAATTTTTGGCGAAGTTTTATAGTAACGGACACTTTATAATTTGGAAAAGGGCACGTTCAGCTCATCGCTTATTAAACGTAAATTTCTATGTTTTAGGTCCTGATCAAATCTCAAATCTCTGGACAGTTACTCCGTATGAAATACATTTATAAATTATTATTTTAACAACAGGTCTACTGAAAAATTGGATATAAAAAGAAATATTACCCCGATATAACTCAAACCCTATCAGAATAGATGGATCATATCTGTTCAAAATAAATTCGTTGATAAATAAAACCCGTTAGATTTCACAGTTTATATTCTTGATAATGTATATCAAGATATTTAAAATGAATCATTTAATGCGAATTATATTTTTCTTTCTATAAAATTAAAATATATAATTATGTATTCATACAAATGATGTTACTTTATATATATGTTACACTCATATAATTATCTATTACTGTGGCCAGCTTTAAAAATTGTTTGCTTGACCTCTCCGCATCTTTGCTAGCCTAGAGTTTCTGATACGCTTCTCTCCTCATAAATGAGTAGCCTGTCAGAAACCCTTGGTTAGCGAAGATACCTGTGAACTTAGTCCAACTCAGGCCCTTTTTAACTTCCAGAAAATCAAAGCATAACTTTTTATGTAATCTGGTAAATATATTTAAGAAATTACGCATTGAAATCGAAAATTTTTGAGAATGCTTTTCTCACCCATACCTATCCACCCTTTTTTCATTTTGAGTGGGAAAAAGGTAAGAAAACATTATTTTGAAGGTGGCAAGAAATGTTCATTTTCAAGATATACAATTTGAAATAACATTATTAAAGAGAAGTTCTATTAGAAAATAAATTAATACCGGTGTTTAGCGATACACCTTTGTCTCGCATTTCATGACATTTTTAGGATAAAAGACGGTATCAAATATTAAATTCACACTCGAGCCCCCCCCCCCCCAAATAAAAAAAAAAACTTAATTCACTTTTGTTAGTATGAAATGTTGTATGTTGATCCAAAGTAAACTTGGTAAAATACATATACAGTATTGGGTGGGGTAACTTTTTACACGTTTAATACACGTTAAAAATTTATCCTAACCCCCCCCCCCCTTTAATTTTTAAAAGATGCAAGTTTTTCAAGTTTTTTTTTTCCTTCCGTTATTATTTTCTCTTTATAATCATTCTTTGCATGTATATCCTCCTCCTTATATTAAGTATCTTGATCATTCATCTATTTTTTATATACCCCCCTTTTTCTTTCACGTGTATAACCCAGAGCAGCAAGAGTGAGAGGGAGAAGTATCCATAATAAAATTTTACATAATAAACAAATATACAGTAAAAGACTATTCTCTGAAAGAGGGGGCACTAAGACCTTATAAAAAATTGATAGATTAAAAGTGCATGTTTAACTTTTGTTTATCCGTTATTTCCTGATTATGGCAACGAGCACACGGCGGTTGTGACCAGTCGGCAGGAGATGCTCACTCCTCCATGGCACCTGATCCCACTTCTGATGTTTCGGAGGTCCGTGTTTGCTCTGCTCTTATTTTGTATATTTGTTTATTGGACGTTGAGATTGAATACTGTTCGTTATTTCCATATCTACCTCAAAGTCAAATAACAATACAAGAATAGAAAGTATAGTTTGGTTACAGAACTTCTCCTCTGGATATGTAGGAGATTTCTGACAAGTCAAATAAAAAAGGGAGTTTTAAATAAATAGTCTAATTAGTAATATGTGAGATAATTTTTCAAATGATAGCTTAACTGAATAGCATCTGAAAAGGTCCGGTGCCAGAAAATGCATTTATTAAAATTACTGCAATGCTTCATGCTTCATAAGCATTGCTGGGTTTCTTATATTCACAAGAACACATCAATATTCAACTTATAGTATAATATTAACGATTTAACGCAAAAATCTACAATTGGAGGGGCCTTCGTCTGCGCGATGGCTTGTTTGGTCAAATAAAAACGTTTCATGAGCTAAATAGGAAAATGCATGGCAATAAACAATAGCTTACTAAGGTAGATCAATATCGCTGATATTCCGTGGAAGCAAAATTACACTCACTAACCCTTTCCTTTTTCTAAATGAACTCATTTTTGTCGAAGACTCCATTGTTTTTTTGAAAATTTAGCAGAAAGTATCCGTTACTTCTGCTGAAAGGGTCCGTTTCAGCGGAAAGGGTCCGTTATGCCTATACACCGTGAATTAGAGTGTTCCTAAAGCACAAAGTGGTTTATCACTATATTTCGCTACATTTCAGTCGTATTTGTCCTCGATTTCATCAGATTACAGATTTGCTATTCATGGCGAAAGTCATGGTGTGTAAAATTAGATATAAATTTGAAATACATTTACATTTTAAAAATTTTATTATATTTTCTGCTCATACTTTTAATAACGCAACCCCACTTTTTTAAAAGGAAGCTATGTCTTTTACATAGCAACGGGGATTGTGTTTGCTTTCACCATAGTCTATAGCTAAATCTCAATTTCTCTCACATTTACGTGTAATGCTTGGAAATACTTTCAATCCTCATTGAACTAGGAATGTTGAATACAAAGTAGAAAAAAATCATTTTAGTATGAATAGTAATGGATATGCAATATTTCTGTTTTAACCTTTTCGCTGCCGTACCGATTTGAA